CCCAAGCAGACAAACATTTGGAAAAACGCGTTTAAACGCTCAAAAGGGAACCGCGATTGTGAGTCAGTAACGCTCATTAAAAAAACGCAGGAAACGCGCTTTTTGCGCAAAATTTTCACTTTCAGACCGTGAAAACGGCGAAAACTCCAGTTTTTGAGCGTTAAAACTCATTGTTTTTAAATTCTGGAATAAAAGCGCGTTTTAACGCTCAACAACGGGAGTTTTCGCCCTTTTAACCGTCTGAAAGTGAAAATTTTGCACAAAAAACCCGTTTCTTGCGTTTTTTTAATGAGCGTTACTGGCTCACAATCTCGGTTCCCTTTTGACCGTTTAAACGCGTTTTTCCAAATGTTTGTCTGCTTGGGTAATAAGACGTCTGCCAAAATGTTTCGATGATTTTTTGTGGACTTATAAGCACCGCTGTAAAGATCCTAAATAAAGTACGCTGTGTTTTTCTTAGTATGCGTCTTTTCAAAATTCCCGTCAATCCCTCAATCCCGTCACATACGGTCCCCTAGAAAAAAATGATCTAATCGAACTGAAATGTTTACCGTTTTAGATCCTATTCTCGAGTTCTAAATTTTTTTAAGCATTTTTGATTTCAATTTTCGGCGTGAGAAGGTTTTTGAAATAAAAAACTGACTTATTATACAGAATGTTTAGCAATTTTCAAATAACTCGAGAAGGAAAGAATATTTTTTGAAAAAACACAAAATTTTAAGGTCGAAAGTACCTGTGGTAAAAGTTTAGACATTCTGAATTCAACGGTATAATTGATTTCGTTTGAAAGTATGTGCTCGCTATCAACAAATGGAGCAAATAATATCTAAATAGATTTTCATATAATTATGATCTGTAAGTAGCGCTTAATATATATAAATCAAAAGTAGTGAATGTGAACGTCAAACTGAAGTATCTCACGCATACTTCGGACTTAACTACCACCTAACGTAATCTAAAAATTTGAAAAAAAAGTTATGAAAACGGCGCATTCAATGGTGGAATGATGTACTTTTTTATCCTATTCGACCACTTTAATCTTTTTTGAAAATCTTCACGTCGAACGATTACTGAGATTTTCATCAAAAAATGAAAATCAATGAAAAGTGTTGAAATATGTATCACTCGAATCAATTTCTGACGGTGCTTCTAAATAAAATATTCGCATTGCATAAACGGTGAGTTCTGAGGGAGAAAATTATGAATTATGGACAGAATTCTGATTTTTTCGAGTAAAGTTCGGTTTTCTCAGCCAGGGAACAAAATTTCAAAATGGCTATACATACTTTATTTCTTCGTTAGATGACGGTTTGAATGACGTATGAAAGATGATTTTAACTTTTGAGACAGAAAAGGAAATATGTTGACAAGAGTCGACTGTCAGTGTGTCCCGAGGCGGTCCCATTCGAGCTGACTAAATGCGGTCAAATTGACTCACACCTAGCTTGTCATACTCAGTTTTTGATAAATAATAATAAAATATTTTTATTTAAGTAGGGTAAGTGCAAAGTAATGAAATTATTCTGAATTTTTTCCCACCCAAAATATGATTTAAAAAATGTAAAAATGCCATATTCTTACTCACGAGGAAAGGTCCTCAAGTGTGCAATCGCTTTTTTTTCAAAATTTAGTGGACAATAGGCAATTGACTATGCTGAATCCGAATATGACATCCATTTGGGCTCTTGCGCCTTCAGAGACTGGATTTCTAGAAAACCAGGTTTTCAGAAACTCTAAAAAATAATAAAAGCCTTTCTTAATAACGCATGATTGTAGCCCGCAAATTTCTGATAAAATGAGACATCTCCCAGCTCTGCACGACGTTTCTTTGCAAAGTTATAGAATTTACAAGAAAAGCCGTAAATTAATCTCTTCTTATTTCTGTTGCTTTGAGCTAACAATTAACAATTTAGGGCTTTTCTTGTAAGAACGGTCGTGCAGAGCTGGGAGATGTCTCATTTTATCAGAAATTTGCGGTCTACAATCATGCCTCATTAAGAAAGGCTTTTGTTATTTTTTAGAGTATCTGAAAAAACTGTTTTTTCAGAAATCTGGTCTCTGGAGGTGTAAGGACCGAAATGGATGTCATATTCAGATTCAACATAGTCGATTACCTATTGTCCACTAAATTTTGAAAAAAAAGTGATTGCACACTTGGGGACCTTTTCTAGCCAGCTCCACGAGCTCTATCGAACCATGCATGAATTTATCGAAAATGTTTTCTGCTCCTCTTTTGCATTTCCGGTATCTTACTTTCAAAGGCGTCCTTTAAATATGATCCCTGAGGCTATAGAAATTGCATCGGTTATCATTCTGATAGTGTCGAAAGAGTATTTTGATAGTAAGTCATGCCGTCAAGAACTCAGCTATGCTAGTGATGTATTGAAGAAACGTATTATTCCTATTTATCCAAATACTGTCCAGAAAGAGTACCAAGCAACAGGTTGGTTGGGCATTAGAACAGCTGGATTAAAATATATTCATTTTGGTAGAAAAGAATTTACTTCAGCCGTTGAAGAATTAACTAACATGGTGCGTGATACAACAAACACCTCAAAATACGTAATGCCACTACAACAGTCACACCCAATAGTCGCTTATAACACAAAACAAGATAGATCATTGAAACATTGGATATCAGACGATATTTCACATTGGTTTGATGTCAATCATATTCATATTGATATAAAAGATTTATTTACATTTCAAACCCGAACGTCATTGATACTTTATGCCGAACATTTGAAACTTCATTACGCACAAGAATACGAACTACTCTTCAGTCGTTATCAAGAGAAGTATGGGAAACAACTGGAGACGGATAAATTTATCACGTTTGTAGATGCTCTCTACCGTCTTGATGATGAGGATGCAGATGATGTCAAGCCATCTGAGAGTAAAATTGAAATTACTTGGCTCTAACTTTTTTCTAATTGACCAGCAATATTTTTCTGCTTAATATAACAGAATAATTTCCTACGCATAAAAATAAAATCTAATATCACTCGATTTGTATACATTACTAGATTTTTACTCGATTGCAATTGATTGCTAACGAGGGTGAAAATCTATTAATCAAGCGATTCGTAGATTTCTCCTCAGTTGCAATTCTCCTCAGTTGATCGATTTAACTATTGCTAGTTGCACATTCGGACGCATCTAGTTAAAAGTCCCTTTCCAGCTAGTAATCTAGATGTCAACTAGTCATACATCCACCGATTACAGACGAAATGTATCTAGATTTTCCAGGCGATTTTTGCTTGGGTTGTACCTTAAACTGTTTTATAAAAGGTGACAATAGTTTGCTTCAAAATATGCCGTCGGGTTCTAACTCTAGATAGTATCCCAAGCAAAAATTGCCCAGCGGAAAAATCTAGATATTCTTGCTGGAGCATTGGGCAATACGCCAGTACATCTAGGTAAAAGAGTAAAAAAATTGATCTATCTAGATGTATCGGGTTGAACCCAATGGCACACAATGCAAATCTCAATGCCTTGAGAAGCCAGAAAATAGGCAAGCAGCTCTGCTTCTGTTGATGCATCCCTCTATTTCTGCAATACAATTGGACGATGCATCGAGTAAAGTATCGGTCGATTCCAGAGTCCATGCCTAATACATATGTCCATGCAAAAATTGGACAGTTTTTGCCAAGAACTTGTCTAATGAACCAGGGAAGGAAGTGAAGGTTCGAGTGAAAAAGTAGAGTGCCATTTTGTTTTATTTAATCAAGAACAGTTAGTTATTTTTAGCTGTTATATGTGATTACTATGATTGTATTGAAAGTAAATGATGAAAACTACAAGCAATTCATGTTTGATTCACGTTTTAAACCATATGAAATTAAACCAGGGATCCAAAATCTCACAGGAGCTCCTGGTTTGCCACTATGACCTAGTTATTCACGAAAAATACTAGAGAATGTATAATACATTCCTCTGACGGCAGACTTGGCTAATTTATGAGTCTTTACTTTTGCACAAGCTTTTGTACGGTTTTTTTAGAAGCGAAAGAGCGCACTGGAGTGTCCTGTATGCCGAATGATAGCTGCTGTCGAGATCTGTTCAACGGTGTGTCATATATGTGCAAAGAGATCGATTTCGATATATTGCATTGGATGAACTCCTTAGAAGAGTAGTCGTAACTCTGCGTCTCGTTTATCTCAGCTTCCTGAGGTGTGGTAGTCGGGAAATTTTTACCACAGACTCAGTGAATGATGGGCAACAAAATGCACCTTTTAGATTTTCAACAGGATCACTTTCATTTTCTTTTATCAATTGTACAAAAAAGTTGCAATTGACTCATATTCTCTTAAATATTGACGTACCGAACATTCGAAGACAATATAGTCAGATCACTTGTAAATGTGGCCTGTTGTTGTATGTCCTTAAGAAAATATTACTCACATGCTTAGGAATTTTAAGTTACTGGTATAAATTAACACCAACACTTGATACTTTGCTGTTAAAAATGTATCTTTTTAGAGAGAAAGCATGGCGTTCAGAGCCTTCCTTACTATAGATTTTCCACTTAGTCTTGTCACTGAGAGCTTTCTCTGAATATTTTTCTGTTATGATCTGGTCTTATAAATGTCTTTCACAGCTGACTGTAAGGCCACTATTACACATTTATTCTTTATTTACTTTTTTCCTATTCTTTTCTTCTCTTTTCGGCGAGGTAAACACCTTTTTTCTCTGTTCTTTCTTATTTCTATTTTCTCCATATAAATGAACACGAATGAACGACTAGCTACGTGCTTTTATAACCTTTACACTATTCCTTAACTCTTATAAACGCACATTAAAAGAAATATCCGGTTCAGTAAATAATGTTAAATAATAGTTAAATTTCTAGTGATCAAATAGAGTAGCAGAATGCTTATTGTTTTAAAATAAATTAATTATTTATAGTACCGACTAACACACTGAGACTATAAGTGATTAGCTTCGTATTCTACCAAGTGACCATTTATGTTTGGTACCAAACCTGATAAAAACCTCTCTAATATGATCCTGATGATAATGAATTATAATGTTAACTGTTATAGTATCAGCTAGAATATAGTGCTGGTGACATAACTTCAAATCAAAATGGCATTATATATATCTTTTACCTGAAAACGAACAGAAAGGAATATAAAATAAACATTCGTTTGACATACAAGATTAACTGAATAAAAATACATAGGGAAAGATACTGTGCATACTATGGCGACTTTTCAGAGAAAATTTTGTGAACAAAAATCCTTCGCTTGAACGGAAAACACAGCTTTCCAATATGGCCATTTTCATGCAGTGATCACTTTATATAAATAAAGAACTTAGTTCATTTTCTAACAAGTAACAGTACAAGTGAACGAAACTAACGAGGGAACCTTTCGAAGTGATACCCTCATTTTGTTAAAACCTGGCTATTTATATGTAATTAGGGGCGCTGATTACGAATACGATAGTCGTTTGGGCCTGTAGACCTGCATTAAAATGGGACGTCTTCCAGCTCTCCACGATTTTTCTTTGCAAAGTCACAGAATTTACAAGAGTCCTAAATTAATTTTTTCCTCTTATTTCTGCAGCTTTGAGCTGACAACGAATATTTAGGGCTCTTCGTGTAAATTCTGTAGCTGTACAAACAAAGATCGTGAAGAACTGGAAGACGTCTCATTTTGATGCAAAATTTATGGGCTACGATTTCAACGGGTTGTATAAACACTGCTATTGTTTCAGAGGATTTCTAGAAACCCGGTTTTTCAGAGAGACGCTAGGGAAGATCTACAGATCCAAGCGGCTGTCATATTCGTAATTAGCGCCCTTAATTACATATAAATAGCCGGGTTTGAACAAAATCAGGGGTATCACTTCGAAAGGTTCCTTCGTAAGTCGATTTATTACACTCAGATACGAGTATCACGAGATTTTCGCTGTATTTCACC